TAGCGAAAAGTGTTTGAGAATGCAGAAACTTAGTGAAAATAGACTTCGTAGCCTTTGCGCAACAAAAAAGACTTCAGACCTTGGTTAAGTTACATTGTTACAAAACTTCCTCGATTTTTTTCCCTGTTTGTCTCGTTATAAACAAACTCTGTTGGTTTTGTTGCATCAGGCTCATCTACTGCTGCTGTTGTGTCTGACATTTCAAAACCGATTTATTCTACAGACTGTGTCTGACTTTTCTCGCTGTAAATGAAACTTATGAAAAACAAAAAAAAATGATTTAAAATAAAATTTCATAACGTGTCAATTCTCTTGAACGTAGTTTGCAATTTTTTCGTATAACATTGTTTTCTCCACAGTATCCTCTTTCACAATCGCCCTAATATCATCTGTCATTTCACTGCTGCTTAGATCCATCTGAATTCATCCCTGACGTTTGGGTACTAGGACTGGTTCGGGAAGATATACTCCTCGGTTGCTGGCTAACGATTCTGGTAAGCTTGGATCTCTGGAATATACAAATTGATTAATGACTGGAAAAAATTTCTTTAATGTGGACAACTCTTCTTCGGAAGTTTTTATTTGATCCTTCCCTAAACAATTGGGCCGCTGCAATCAATACGCTGTTTTCTTGCTAATGAAAATGTAAGATCACGCTCTGGAGTCATCCACACACAAGGCCTTGCTCTTTGCGATAGGTATGTCTCCTTTTCCGCTGATCTCTCGCTGTTGTTCGTTTTTCAACCAATCATAAAAAACCTTGCTTTTCTTCAGGGCACAAGGATTCCTGGAGTGGTAATGAGGAATAGGTCTATTGCAACTTAGATAATCTTCGAAAATTGAATTTTCAACACAAGGACAGCACAAATGATCTAGGTTTAATTTTTTCGGTACGAGTATTTGGCGTAAAAATAGCACTAAGATTTCTCAACACAAAACGTCGAAGTATTCGATTTTAGTTTAGGCAAAGGTAATCACCGTTTTCCCATTGGAGACCGTGTTAAAAAATTGTTAACCAGATGTAAGCTTTTATCCAAGCTTTGGTAGTACATTGAAATTGTCTGGAGGTGAAAAAATGAGTCAGTCGCTGTAGTCTGAAGTTGTCATTGCTAATTCTTTAACCAAAAAGGCGTTTTCTTTTTACAACCAAAGCGTTCCACGTCAAGCCCAACTAATAATCTTGCTTAGCATTCTAGTGATTTATAAACTGTTGGTTTTTTCAGCTTAAGGTAAAGGCAGAAAACTATTCCACTCAAATGTCCCAATCAGCTATTGTTACAGCTCCAGGGCAAAATGTAACATTACGTGGTACCTTCTTGGTAAAACTTGTTATAAACCCGCCGCATTGTGCAAAGTAGCGTGCAATCGTAAAGTTTTGCAATTTTTCAAGTATTTTTCCAAGAAAGAGTTATCAATACCAATCAAGCCACCATTAGGTCTTGCCTTAAATGAAAAGTTGTAGTTAAGATTGAAAGAACTATCAAAAAACAGAGAAATTGTAGCTGGAAACTTTTTTTGTACGTTAGATTTATCAGGATAAGTTTAATTACTCTGCTTTTTTGCAATTTCATTGTTTATTTTGTCCAACACCTCTCCAACCTGCTGAATTTATTTTAAGTCAGTGTAAATAAAAGCGACCTTGAAGATACCATCTAGACTCATTAAAATATGGCTGGTAAATAATCGAATAAACCACCGGAAACTTTTTGTATTTTGATAGCTTGTTAAAACATTTTTCTCTCCAAGTCGGATTTTTCTCGCCAAGTAATTATCAACCCATATTGAGTTAAAACCAAATAAATAGTCGAATACGTTTTCATGATCAGCAAAATTTAGATCGCTCACAGAACCATGTTTTTGTTTTGTAGTTTTCAGAACGTTTTGATGTCTCAACTAAGGTTGATTCTTTTTCAAGTGGCTTTTCATTGTATTCCTCTTAAATTTCAAAACTCCCGCTTGATGGATTATAATTTTTAAAGCGGTAACTTTCCTTTTTGTAAAACCGCATCATGTTTTTTGTTTCAGATTATGCGTAGCGTTTTGATTTCTAATTTTTTGCACGTTTTCAGCAATTTTCCAGAAAATCATGATCGCCTGAATTTTATTTTCAAGATTTCGCGATTTAAAACCCTGATGCAGCTGTTCCTTTTTATCAGGCAGCGATACCTGTAAAGTCTAGACTCAACGCGTGCCTCGAATTGGAGATAGTCGTACTAAAATAAGATAGTCGTTTTAAAATATTATGTTTTTGCTGAAAAAATTTTCAGCAAGTTCCCACAAAATCATGTTCGCCTAAATTTTATTTTCAGGATTTAGCAATTTAAGACCCTGATGCAGTTGTGCTTTTTTATCAGGCAGCGATAACTGTAAAGTCTAGGCACAACGCGTGCCTCAAATTGGTAGATAGTTGTATTAAAATAAGACAGGGCTGTCTTCGCTGACAAGCAAAAAAAGAACTCCAACAGTTATTCAAGGCGCGGTTAAAAGTAGCATAAGCTTCAATCGAATTTTTTCCCTGTTCGTCTCGTTATAAACAAACTCTGTTGCTATTGTTGCGTCAGGCTCATCTAGTGCTGCTGTTGTGTCTGACATTTGAAAAACGATTTATTCCTCAGACTGTGTTTGACTTTTCTTGCTGTAAATGAAGCTTATGAAAAACAAAAAATGATTTAATACAAAATTTCATAACGTGTCAATTCTCTATCATTTATGTCATGCATTTCTTGAACGTAGTTTGCAGTTTTTTCGTATAACATTGTTTTCTCCACTGTAACCTCTTTCACAATCGTCCTGATATCATCTGTCATTTCACTGCTGCTCAGATCCATCTGAATTCATCCCTGACGTTTGAATACTAGGACTGGTTCGGGAAGATATACTCCTCGGTTGCTGGCTAACATTTCTGGTAAACTTGGATCTCTGGAATATACAAATTGATCAATGACTGGAAAAAATTTCTTTAATGTAGACAACTCTTCTTCGGAAGGTTTATTTGATCCTTACCTGAACAATTTGGCCGCTGCAATCAATACTTGTTTTCTTGTTGATGAAAATGTAATATCACGCTCTGGAGTGATCCACACACAAGGCCTTACATTTTGCGATAGGTATGTCTCCTTTTTCGCTGATCTCTCGCTGTTGTTCGTTTTTCAACCAATCATAAAAAACCTTGCTTTTCCTCAGGGCACAAGGATTCCTGGAGTGGTAATGAGAAATAGGTCTATTGCAACTTGGATAAATTTCGAAAATGGAATTTTCAACACGAGGACAGCACAAATGATCCATGTTTTCTTTTTTTTTGGTACGAGTATTTGCCCAAAAACTCTGTTTTTTTTTCTTTTCCTTTAGCGTAAAAAAGCACTAAGATTTCTCAACACAAAACGTCGAAGTATTAGGCAAAGGTAATCACCGTTTTCCCATTGAAGACCGTGTTAAAAAATTGATAACCAGTTGTAAGTTTTTTGTCCAAGCTTTGGTAGTACATTGAAATTGACTGGAGGTAAAAAAATGGGTCAGTCGCTGTAGTCTGAAGTTGTTATTGCTAATTCTTTAACCAAAAGGTGTTTTATTTTCAAAACGAAAGCCTTCCACGTCAAGCTCAACTAATATCCTGCTTAGCTTTCTAGTGATTTATAAACTTTTGTTTTTTTCAGCTTAATCTAAAGGCAGAAAACTTTTCCACTCAAATGTCCCAATCAGCTATTGTTACAGCTCCAGGGCAAAATTTAACATTAGGTTGTACCTTCTTGATAAAACTTGTTGTAAACCCGGCCGCATTGTGCAAAATTTTGCAATTTTTCAAGTATTTTTCCAAGAAAGAATTATCAATAGCAATCAAGCCACCATTAGGTCTCGCCTTAAATGAAAAGTCGTAGTTAAGATTAAAAGAACTATCAAAAAACAGAGAAATTGTAGCTGGAAACTATTTTTGTCAGTTAGATTTATCAGGATAAGTTTAATTACTCTGCTTTTTTGCAATTTCATTGTTTATTTTGTCCAACACCTCTCCAACCTGCTGAATTCCAAGCCAGTGTAAATAAAAGCGACCTTGAAGATACCATTTAGACTCATTAATATATCGGTGGTAAATAGTCAAATAAACCACCGGAAATTTTTTGTATTTTGATAGCTTGTTAAAACATTTTTCTCTCCAAGTCGGATTTTTCTCGCCAAGTAATTATCAACCCATATTGAGTTAAAACCAAATAAATAGTCGAATACGTTTTCATGATCAGCAAAATTTAGATCGCTCACAGTACCATGTTTTTGTTTTGTAGATTTTGTTCTGAGTTGTGTTTTTTTTGTAGTTTTCAGAAGGTTTTGATATCTCAACTAAGGTTGATTCTTTTTCAGGTAGCTTTTCATTGTATTTCTCTTAAATTTCAAAACTCCCTCTTGATGGAATATAATTTTTAAAGCGGTGGTAACTTTTCTCTTTGTAAAACCGCATCCTGTTTTTTGTTTGAGATTATGCGTAGCGTTTTGATTTTCAATTTTTGGCACGTTTTCAGCAATTTTCCAAAAAATCATGATCGCCTGAATTTTATTTTCCGGTTTTCGCGATTTAAAACCCTGATGCAGCTGTTCCTTTTTAACAGGCAGCGATACCTGTAAAGAATAGACTCAACGCGTGCCTCAAATTGGTAGATAGTCGTATTAAAATAAGACAGGGCTGTCTTCGCTGACAAGCAATAAAAAGAACTCCGACAGTTATTCAAGGCGCGGTTAAAAGTAGCATGAGCTTCAATGGGAACAAGCGTCTTCAACTAGGTGTCTCCGAAGGGGTGTTGCAATTCATCAAAGAAATTTTAAAATGCTTTTTATAAACCGTTGTTTTTTTTGCTGATTGCTTTTTTGGCAGGGTGTTTGGATATATTTGCCAGACGTTTATTTTAGCTCAGCTGGCTATTGTCGCGCCTTTTCCAGCTCATTCTTAAAGCCAAAATCTTCATGTTTTTTCTGTGTGCTTAAACTAACAATTCAAAATTTAACAGTTTCGTGAAACTATTGGAAGCAAATGAGGAAGGTGGTTATCTCGTTGCTTCAATGTCTGACTATCGTGAATTTCCGTGGGACAACAAACCGGGCTTCAAGGAAAGAAAAGTGGATATTTCCAGACAGCCAGCTGTATACGACAGCCGCTATCTGAAAGCTTTCATTGAAAGTGTAAACTTGGCAAAACAGTCTTACATGTGGGTGACAAGAAACTGCCAAGAGTTCATTCGAGATTTGATGGTATTTCTTGAAATTGAAGATTCGTGGGCCTGCTTCTTCAAAACGGCTCAGCAGGCAATCGGTGTTGGTAAGTCTTTTTCTCAATTGCTCACAAGTTAAAACAGATTTAACCCGGGTTGACCTGTCATAGAGAGTTATAAGCGATATCCCAGTGTTAAAAAATTTTCAGCTATAACTCAGGGTTATTGATGGATATGTTTTTTAAACGATGATTATGGAAAAAAAAGCTCTGTTAAAACCATGAATCACAGCTGCAACAAAGAAAAGTTTAATTCCAAGTAGAAACAAAGTTTTGAAATTTCTTGAAATTATGGTGAAAACATAAAAAATGGTGAAAATCAACAAAATCTACTAATTTTAATTTCTACTGATTGAAAACAGAAAAAAAAAGATTTTATAATTGAACGATTTTGCAGTCGATTTCTGAATGCGTTTGCTTTAAGAAACTGATCACTGAGTCATTATCACTTTTAAATGCGAAAGCTACGCTAAACATTTTCGAGATTTTATGCGAATTCATATGAACGTTTTGCTGAAAAATTCAGAAAGTTTAACTGGCAATCCTATTTATCCTAGACAAGAACAAGTTCACATAATTAGCTGAAACGAGACATTAATTGTTATTCAATCAGGTGGAAAACTGACTCTAAAACTGATTTTTGAGTTTCATTTTTAAATGACGGTCATCTGTGTTTTTAGATTGCTCTTTTTTAAATCAACTTGCTGACATCAAACTTTCATTTCAAGTTATCTAAGGTCGACTGAAAAATTTGAAAAATTCAGGGTTTTTGCAATGTTGTTGCAGCCCTGATTCAGAGAAGAATCAAAAAATTTTGTGGTTTTTACCTGGTTGTTTCATCCCTACGTTAGCGCTACTTTAGCGCGGGCCCTGTCCCAAAATTCCAGCTCTGAATCAGCATTTTGTCAAAATCAGCATTTTGACAAAAACTAAAAAAGAAAACAGTCGAAAAAAGGCGTTTTTGGAAAAAATTGAAAAAAATGCGTTTTTTGGCGAGCGCTCTCCATTCGAAATAAGTATTTTTTGGCACCTAAGGCGCCTTTAGAAAAATTTAAGATCAGTCAGCCAAAAAAGGTATCTCAAGCTAGTGCAAAGAGTGGACCCTTCGGATCGGCAGGAGGTTGAAACCCTGAGGGGAGAGCGTCACCAACCCCCGCCGCCCTCCCCTAAATCCGCTGGTGTCCTGAACCAGAGCAGAAATTTTTCTGATCATGGACAAGCGCCACTGATTGTGGGCAAAATCAGAGAAGTTAGATTTCTGAAAACTTGCTGATTCAGCGATAAATGTCTATGACAAACTAACTCGTAAATCCTGCTGCAATTTTTTTTATAATACTGATCAAAAACCTTGGTGGGCAAGAAAAAAACGCTTAAAAAATTTAGAATTCAAACGTTCGACTTTTTTTCTTTAATTATTTTCCAATTTAGGGATTTCCTGGCTCTCGCGAGGTTCCAGTCAAAGCAGCAGCTGTCTTCTCCGACAAATACTAAACATAACTCCGGCTTTTATTCAAGACGCAGTTAAAAGTGGCGCGAACTTCATTGGGAGGAGGCCTCTTGTACTAGGTGCCTCTGAAGGAGTGATAGATTTCATCAAAGAAATTTTAAAAAGTCTTATTATAAATGCACAGCATGAGCTTGTTGAAGCAGTTATCAATGCAACTAGAGGAGCGTTCACATGGTGGCAGCTGCTTCAGATCCCAGTCGAGTTGGGAGTTCGCCTGTTGATGGAAAGTGAGTGGTTTCAGGAGACATTCGGTTACCACGATCCGGGAGGAAAATGGGCTTATGCTGCGAGTAAACTCGCCTCAGTTGGTGTTGCTGGGCTTGTTGGACTTTGCGTAACAGGAGGAGGATGGGGCTTTTTCGGTAGGCTCAATCTCTGTGAAAATTTTTGACCTGATTTTTATTTATCACTCCATGAGTTTGTAACACAGAGAAACAAAAAACTGGTGGTTCTTTCTTCGTTTAAAAAAACTAACCAAGACAAGGTAATCAAATTATGTTTTTACTTTGAAAGTGTTATGTTTCTACTATTATGTTTCTTACAATCTTGCGCCGGAAAATCGAAGGTCGAAAAGCAACTTTAAGTTGAGCAAAAGTGTCAACAAACATCAGTTTCAGCTGATAGAATCGAAACAGGTTGAAAAAGTTGAAATCAGTTACAGCATAGTCTAAACATAGGTTGAGCGTAGTCAAAAACTAGATTAAACCTAGTCGAAACAGTCTTATTTTTTATTTTTGTTTTTCTTTGAAGAACAACTAAATTTTAAAATTGAAATTGAGAAAAAAATCTACTCAAAAAGATTTCCGCCGGAGAGTTAGTTCACGCAACAAATTTGTAGATGAATTGATTACCGCAGACAAGAAGGCTCAGAGGCCACTTAAAATCTCAGACTTTTTTATATTTAGAGAAACCCCTCGAGATGCAGTGATTCCCGTGACAAGAAAATTTTTTAAAAAAAGTTCTTTAACGTTTATTGCATTTTACCCCAGCTTTAAACTGGGGTATGTTTGTATGCTTTAAGATAAAAATACAGTTATATTCCAAATGAGATGAAACGTGAAAAGTCAGCGAACGAAAAAACGCCAAAATGTTGGCAATACAAATTTGAGCAGACAAGATGAATCCAAACGAATCTTCTCCTATCAAGGTGATGCACTGCATGTTCCGACTGCCCTTTATTTTATCGACAAAAAAATTGATAAAGTATTTGAGAAAAAAGATGGAACGCCTCATTTCACCCCAATCGGGTTTTATGAAATGATATCAATTGCGTCTGGTAACGTATTATTATAACCAATTAATAGCCTCAATTCAAATTGAATTGATTTAACTGGTCGCGTCCCCTTCAATAAGACAAAAGGAACTGCTGATTCCCCTTACCCCCAATTTTACCCATGTGATTTTTGATTAAACGAAGCTTAAAAAAAGTTTGAAAGGAAGCCGATAAAAAGCGAAAACTGCCATTAACAATTGCAGAAAGCAGTAACAAAATATTAGAATCCTTGTAAAACTCTGACGAGGATGTTGAAGAAGGATGAAACAGTTAAGCGCGATATTTTTTTTCTTAGACATTTTTACCAGTCACTGGTGAATGGCGTTTTTTGAACTATCTGAAAAGAATTGAGTTCGTTTTAAGAAAAATAATTTTCGTTATAATGTTTTTTTTTTCTAAGGCTATAGGTGTTTGTTTATTTTGGGTACATTAAAAACTCGGAATATTTCGTGCTTTGGCGCGTAGGCAGCATTTTTATTCGACTCTAACATCGTTCCAGTTTGACTCGAGGCTATTAGGACTAATTATACGTTGCTACACGCTATTTATTTTAAATTGTGTTGTAAACAACCTGCGTGGAAAAATTTCTCAACAAAATCTGAGACAAAAAAAAAACAGATTTCAAAATGTTTTCAAAATGCATTTCAAAACTTTTATTGAAAACAATTCTGTAGAACTTAAGGTTGTCGGAACATTCAGGCTTCCCATTGATGTGCAGTTTTGTTTTCTGTTAAATTACTTGTTGCAAGGTTTGTACCTACACGTTTTGTTCATACTCAGACTCCAGAATTCAGAAGTTTTTTGATAGACTTATAATGAAACTTCAGGTGCTGTGCTGGTATGGTTTGTGCAGGAGCTGCTCACTTTTGGCCTCAGAATGTTATCCGGATTCGTATCTACACACTACACACATGATGGTGGAGATTTCTTTGACAAATGGATCGGTGAATCGAAAACCTTGCAGCTGTTCAATTGGATATTCAATACTGATTATCATATCCCGCGACATGTCAGGCAAGCTGAAGATTGACAAAAACTCCTGCCAAAGTCGTATTAAAAGACAACTCGCAATAAAAAACAACTCGCTTTAACAGACAACTGGCAATATACCCATCGCCGCGGGACGACGTTTTACGAGCTTGCCAAAAGAATTTTGCCTTTCTGTGAGTTGTTTTTTTATTGCGAGATGTAATTATAGATTGCGAGTCATTTACGAAAATCTTACTAACTTTTTTGTTTTCTGTTTCTATTCACTTAATCCCACTCGTTTGAGTTATGATAAATAATGCCGTGGTGATCGTAACGTTCATTCAAACGAAAAACTCAACTTTTCAGATTTTAATCCAGCAAAATATAAACAACGTTGTTATTGGAGTTTCTGGCGAAAGATGAATTGAGGTTACTTTTTGAAAATACAATTTCATCCACTTTATTAAACATTTCTTGCTTTGATGCATATCAACAGAATAATTTTGGTTTTCTGAAGTTTAGCTTTGATGCATATCAACAGAATAATTTTGGTTTTCTGAAGTTTTTCTGAATATAGGTCATCCATACAAAAACATGCTCGTCATACGATTCCATACAAAAATGCTTATCACATATTTCCATGCATGCGATCAATGGAGAAAACGCTGATCATACAATTTCTATTTATGAAAGTTGTATGGTACTCTTTTTTGTCTAGAAATAGAGAATTTTATTTAGAATTAACTCAAGAAGAGTTTTCAGATTTTAATCGGTTTATAATTATATAAGATATAATGGCAACCAAAATAATATAGAACTGAAATTCGTATGAGCATAAGACTGCCAACCATATAATTTCTATTTATAAAATTTTCATGATACGCATTTTTTTCATAGAACCTTCTTTATCGGAAACACTTCAAAAAGAGTTTTTGGAGAAGTTATAAGTTTTGTTCGGTTTTTACTTAGATCAGATCATATTGGTTATCAAAATCATAACTTTTTGGAGCCAAATAGTTTATCATACAATTTCTTCTTATGAGAATTACATTATACCCATATTTTTCATAGAACTTTTTTTTCTCAGAAATACTTTGGATAGCTTTTGTGGTTTTGAGTTGGTGCATTACCAAAAAACTTTTGAATAGGTTTATGAGTGTTTATGTGTTTTTTTTTAATTGAGATCATATAGGTCATCACAATCAAAGCACAGATCATACAATTTCTTCTTATGAGAATTGCATTATACCCATCTTTTCCATAGAATTTTTTGTTCAGAAAAAATTTGGATAGCTTGTGAGGCTTTGAGTTGGTGCATTACCAAAAAAATTTTTGAATAGGTTTATGAGTGTTTATGTGTTTTTTTCTAATTGAGATCATATAGGTCATCACAATCAAAGCACAGATCATACAATTTCTTCTTATGAGAATTGCATTATACCCATCTTTTCCATAGAATTTTTTGTTCAGAAAAAATTTGGATAGCTTGTGAGGCTTTGAGTTGGTGCATTACCAAAAAAATTTTTGAATAGGTTTATGAGTGTTTATGTGTTTTTTTTTTATTGAGATCATATAGGTCATCACAATCATAACACAGTAACAGAGTTTCAAAGCACTAAAGATTTTTGTAATCTCTATCTTCTGATGAGAGACTATTGGCTGGGCTAAGATTTTGCCTTATTTATTTTCTTCGTTGTGCACAGTTATATTATCGGAAAAAGATTTTCATGCAATTTTTTTTAAAAAACTTTCCATTGAAAGAAGAAAGTATTTATCATACAAGAGCATTGAATAAAAAAAAAACGCTAGTCATACCATTTTCATAAGGTTTTTCTTTTTATGGAGTTTTATTGAAATGTTTGATAAGCATTTTTGGTAAACACGGTTTTAGTTCACTAATTGAATCATGCTTTTTTATGAAATCAATTCAAATATGTTAACAAATATTGTTTTAAATGCTTTTCAAATTAATTTTGTAAAAATAGGTAAACTCCAATAAAAAATTACAAGAAACTGTTTTAGTTCGCAAGAAAGATTGATTTTTGGCAAAAACTACCCTAAAAAGTTCATTTATAGGTCAATACCCTATATTATTCCCATACTTTCAACCGGCTAGTTCTAGTTTTCAAATGTACACGTTTTAGTCTTCCAACATCGCTAATCTATCCAAACATGCTAATCGCTAAGCCATGAAACTGGACGCCGATAGTCGATAAATTAAGAGTGTTTTTTTCAATTCAATAGACTACGGAAGTTGCAAACGTTTCTAGTTGAAATGAAAGTGTGAAAAGCAGTCTATCAAACTATAGCTTGAACAAAAAATTAAGGCAAAAACTCAAAGAAAACCAAGTCAAGACGCGTTGCCAGAGAGGCTATCGCTGCTGTGCATAGGTTCGAATAACTGTATAAAGTTCCCTTCGGAGTGGGTTCGAGGACCTCTCTGCCACAAATTTTTTACTTTTTTTAAATTTACGTAATAATAAAATCAAAAAACGTTATTTTATCGATTTCGATCTTGAAAAGACAAGCTTTTAGTTGCGAGTTCCGTGTTGGCTGTCAGCCATTGCTTCTAAAACTACGTAAGTTAATTGATACATACGCCCTGTAAAGGTTGATAATTAAAGTTTTGTTTCTATACAAAA